AAGACTGCGAATCCGAGATTTATACTAGCAAGGGGAAAATTTACGGAACTTTAGTGACGTCAATTGCAAAAGCGTTTCAAAGGGGTCGACAGTAACAAGTCGGCGAACTGTCCGGTATGTTTGATATATATACATCGGGTCGATTTTTTCAAATCTGAACAAAGAATTAAATATGAGACATTTGTTTTTAACAATAATTTTAATTTATTTAACAAGATAACATGTTAGCAATTAATTAATATTATAACGATTAACGGTAAGAATAAGTAGTATTTCATCATTTTAGAAAAAAGCACTAGCCGTCCGGTTACCCTTTTAAGTAGAGCGTTGGACTGTTAATCGTGTGGCCGGGTTCGATCCAGGACGGCAAGCCAGTTACGTAGTGATCACGAAATCCTTTCAACGATCACAGAAGTTTCAGTTCCTTGTGGAAAGCGAAGGCAACTGTAACTGGTAAGACTGCTTAATATATACACACTCCTGCGCATCGGTCAAATGTTTCACAATAAAAAGGGAAAATATGAATAAAAATGCGAAGGGAGCTAACTTGACATCCTATCCAGGAATAATGTGGTGGATAAACAGTGCTCTGGTGAATTCAATGTGGTTTACTGCCGTGATCCGTATAGTGAGAGTGAAAACAACTAAACACCACTACCTTCGCCTGATTTTCAAAAAATGATAGCCTGCATGTGCATTATCAAATTGTTTTGAACGTACAATAATGTTTAAATCTTATTATCAATCGCTTTAACATTTTAAGACCATGTCAAGAGTTCTCAAACTCAGACAGTTCTTAGTTTTTTTCCCTATTTCTGTTGTCAATGCCTCATTCATTTTAAGATTACTATTTTAAAATGTCAAGTCAACTGGAAATCAAAAGCGAAGTAAAGTAAGAAAATGTTTGTTGGCAAAATTTATGTTGCAATCTATAATACTCATATATAAATGAAAAACGGTATTCAGAATGCAGGGAACAAAAGAACACAGTTATGCACATAAGATAACATTCTTGGTTTTACAATGATACCGATATTTAAGCTGAGATAAATGCCGTGTGTAGAATTTAAAAGAGAATTGTGAATGTTCGGAAAACCAGTAATATAATGCAATACGTGAAACATATGTTGTAATTTTCTAAAATGTTTTGTTTTATAGCTATAACGTTTATGTATTTCTTGCCTAGGATAAATCATTTATGTAAAGGCCTATCATTTATTTAAAGACCTAGCTCTTATGCCAGAAATGCTAAAGTTTTTTCATGAAAAAAAAAACCGTAAATGTTTGGTATCTTGCTAAAATACTTATGCCATAAGGATGAACTATATTTGCATCTTTTGCTTTGTTGGCAATTAGTATAATTATAATGAATAAGTATTTTGTATGGAAGTAAAAATGCTGCTTTATTTACAGTTTTGCTACCTTTACAACACATTAATGCACAATTAGCACTACATCATTTAGCTGCACAAATCCATTATTAAACCATTATTAAAGAGGTGTTTTGCATTTCTAAAGAATTAAGTAAATATTGATTTCTGAGGCATAATGTGCAGTTGCACGTTTTAATGTTCTTATCAACGATTTTATTTATAATAGTATATCGCCACTTCTTTTTGGTTAAGTTTAACTCTCAGCAACGCAGAAGAATTTAGCGATTATATAAAGACGGCGTTCTTTGCACTGTACATAGAGTGTTCCATTTGAAAATGCGAATGTGTAGGTTCAGCTGAGCGGTATTGGTACCATTTGGATGAATTTTGAGAACGAGAAAGAATACACCAGATACATATAATAAGTATAAAGACCTTTATACGACGCGGTCCTTTGCTGTGAAAAAATTGACCGGAAGTGGTATATTCTTGCGCATGCGCAATCTGCATAGGGCAAAAAAAAGAACATCACCCTACATGGAAATGTAGTAGATGTTCGTAGACAATTCGGATTTAGTTAAAAATAAATAGAAAATCATATAAAATGGCCTGACGTTGATATAATTGTTGTAAAAAGGGTGGGAATATAAATATTAGCAAATAAAGAAGTCAGTTAATTTTTTTTTTTTGAAATCTTTCAAAGAAATTCTATAACATATAAAATAGAGGTTAATTATAATTCTGAAAACAGTCGGACACGTGAAAATGCATTTCATTGTTCAGTTATAATTGTATCCTTTATCCTACTGCCAAACAGAATTTCCATATCATAATTAAATATATCTAAAAACAATTCAAAATCTTGAGAAGTTAAGATTGCAAGTGAAATAACAAAATGCTTCAATACTGATGAAACTTGGCACAAATGTTGATTGGACTAACAGCATGCTCAATCTTAAATTTCCTGTTACCATGGCAACGGGGGGACTTCTCAAAGTTGCCAAAAATAACTATTTTGCATTTTCTTTCATCAAAACTGATTTCAAAGTGCTGCAACTTCTCAATGGATTGAGATGGAATAAATGGTTTTTCAGCGTTTGTTACGCGTTCGCCCATTCTCAATAAAATAAAGCATTTGAGGTTGAAAAATATTAAAAATTTGATGTTGTCATTGTGTCATTTTTTATCGCTGAAGTAAAAGTTTAGGGTATTTTGCAAGTTTGCCAGAAATATTTTGAACAAGAAACTATGATATAACAGGATGGCATTTATTTCGGTAATGACACTGTATTTCTTCGGTAACGTAGAATTCAGATCTAATAATGTAACATATTGGCTGCATATTAATAACAAATGTCTGTAAAATATATCAAAATCTGTAAATTCTCTAACTAGAGGGACTTACTAACCCAGGAAAATTCAAAGAAGTTAGGTACCTTGCTTATTTTCAGTCAATTTCTTCAAAGTTAAATATCCGTAGAAAGCAAAAATAGTCAATTTTGGAAATGATTATTTCATGTCTTCATTCAAAGGATATATATCATATATAATATATGAGAGGTCGAATGCATACACAAATTTTGTATTAGCATTTTTTTTCTCAAAATATTCAACTTTCCACTTTCTTAATATTTGGAAAATTTAGTACTAAGCAGTTCGATATTTATCCCCATATAGGATGTCACGTATGTTTCATTTTATTCAAATGCAAGTAAAGGTTGAGAAAACAATTTCATTTTTTGTAAAATGATTTATATTTATGGATAGTATTTTAACATTATTATATATAGAATGAAATACGGCCAGTAAGCTCTTTGCAGAAACGAAATAGTTGTTGCTGAGAACATCAATATCTTGTAATATATTTTTAACATTTCTGCCGGTACATCAACATATTGTTAACATATCTTTCCTTTGTAAAAACAATTTTGTGTCTTCTTACAGCTAATACAATGTAACCGTTACTAACAGGCATGCTAATCCCAACTTTATCTTTAATTTTCAAAAATTGTTGAATTGTAAGTTGGAGTAACGTATGTTTCACACTCGCTTATTTATAAACTTTATCATGGAATTTAAACTTACATGTAAAATCGACTTTTTTTTATTAGGAATCAAATGCACATCATTCTATTGTCATAAAAATGCGATTTTATGTTTTTATATATGCATGTGTAAACAATATAAAGTCTGTTTGATAAAAGTAACGTTTGTTTCACTGTGGTTACTTAAACAAGTAAAAACTCGACCAAAGTTAACAAAATTTACTTACTAAGGTCAAATAGAAGTTAATGTTGCTGTTATACGTGCTTTCTGACTTCAATTTCCCTTTTGATAAACTTACATTAAAAAGTTGATAACGTATGTTTCTGTAACATATGTTTCATTTTAACATTGAAAATGGGCTTAAAATGACGCAAGACCGTTTAAGCCGCCATAATTTGTGGTTAATATATCAGAGTTACACACATGTTAATTTTCTTTTTTGTTTGGATACTTCTTTAAATGGATTGGCTCTTAAATAATGGTAACGTATGTTTCTTTTTAAAGTGCTGTTGAAAAGATTTGAATAAAAAATGAAAATTTCCGAAAATAGAATGATATTTGAGAGGCTGCAAGCTTATTTTTACTTATTATTATATATATGCTGTATTATTAAGCATGCATCGATTCAATTATGTAATTTGGGTTTCACTTCTAATTGTTTTAGGTTTGTCACTATTTATTTATATGCCTTTGGCGACATTTGATCATCCATTATACCAATGAGATTTTAACAGTCAAATATAATTTTTACCAATAATCAAAGTGCATATACGCACAACAATGACTAATTGCACATGTTTCGTTTATTCTAAAACTTATTTTTCTGAAACACAATTTCAAAGTTGAAAATTCTAGGTGGCGACAGTAACGTATGTTACATTTTAGGGCATTAATGGTACTTGTAAAAGAAAAATAACAGATAGAAATGTAAAACTGAGAGTGTCCCTATTAGACAAAGTGGCAGCCACCTTTCTAACGACATTTTGACCTCAAGAAAAACCTTCGTATAAGAGCTACCCAGTGGAACATCAAATGCTGTGTTTTATTGAGAATGAGCGGTTACCTTACGATCGACCTGAGGCCATTTTTAGCCTGTCACATGTCCAAATTTTTTTTGGCGATTGACCCCCTTCAAACCCCCGAAACAGAAGGGGGCACATCCTCCTTCTGGCAACCCCCTAATCTACAGTTTTGATAGGGGTGGCGCCGAAAAAGGTGATCACTTTTTTAAGAACATTTCCCAAACGAAAAACTGTGTTTGGGGTCTAAATATGGTAATTTTTCACTGTTTGAGGCCTCAAAAAAGGAGGGGGTCGAAAAGCCGTCAAACACGTCTATATGAGGTAAAATGTTAAGTTTCCTAAAATGTAGTATTTCGTAATGCGTTTTTGCCCTACTTAGTCATAATAGCAAAGTTACAGCCAGTTACAGCCAAAAAAATGAAAATTTCAATAATTTGACCTTCAAAGTAAAGGTCATTTATGAGTGAATGTCAAGGTCTGTCTGGTTATTTTTAAGGGTTATCCTTGAAGATTATTATGTTCAAGTATATATATGAAATACCGCATACGTTGAACAGGATTTAGCAATGCAATAACTTCCGGTCAAAATGGAAACAACATTGAACAGTTTGACAGGTCCTATTGTTTTGGCTCGTACTCGAGCTCCTGATCTTGAAAGTGTTCGAAAGCTTAATTGCTGGTACGTTTAAAGATGTTGTTTTATATTTCAGAATAATAAAATTTTCCAAGTATCATAAAATTATTTTAAGTACGCAACATTCGGATATAAATCCGTCCGGATAGTTGACAGTTTAATTATCATTTAAACAAACGAACATTAATGAAAGTAGATTTGTTTATTTTTTACCTATTTAATATCTCAAAATTACATGTATATATTTGGAATGAAATGTCTAGGTGTACAATGCTCTGGGAGTAAAACATTTTTAGTGGGAGTGAAACGTCCGACAATTTTAATATAACCAGGGTCTTTCAAATAGAATGGTTTGGAAATGCACGGGTTAAATCCTCGCTTCAATTAAAAATGTCGCGGTATGACTTGGTATAGTTTGCTATATATATATACACATTTTATGTAAGTGTTGAAGAACAGGGTGCAAATTAAATATACTCAATCACAGGTGCTTGAAACAAACTTTTTAAAGTTTTATATGGGCTATATATACTATAATAAGATATACATATATAGACCGGTTATGTAAAATATTTGATTATGTGACTAGCGCCTGTGTACTCAATTCTTATGATATCACAGTATTTACATTTTCTGTGACTGCTAGAAAATGTAAATGTAACACATATCGATGCTTCTATTTTTATTAAATTGTTACTTTTTAAAGTAAAAACTGATAATGTAATGTAGCCAGGATTAGTTTTCAGTAATTTTTGATCAAATAAACAGAAATCTTATACTTTGATTTTTGAACAGTGGTGTGCTACACCAGATAACTATCGATAGATACAAATGTAACTTAATCATGTGACTCAGCTGAGACATCTTCAATGTCGTAAAATTGGTCCAACTCCAGACCATTCTATTTGAAAGACCCTGATCAAACTGAGTATCTTCATATTCCACACTGTGATTATAAACTTTATATTTCAGGGGTTCAGAGATAGATGATATCAGCATTGTGAGAGAAATGCCAAATTTAGAAATATGTAGTGTCAGGTAATCAATCTATTCATTTTTTAATGAAAAAAGGCAGTTGTTGCCTTGTGGGTGAAAGTGGTTTTGTCAAACTACCGGTTTAGCGAACTTATCTTATGTAATAAAAAGGTTGTGGTTTCGGAGAACTTATTTTATAGTGTTAAAAATATCTATTGTATACTGGGCACGTCAATTATGGTATGTGTTAATTTGTAAAGAAAACGTTGATACAAAAATAAATATCTTTTAATATATAACATAAGATTGACACACCTCTTCATAAATTAAGTTCCCCGAACCGGTTGTTCGCTGGAACCACCATAATTCTGCCTTGTTCACAGTTGTTGCTATTAAATCTTAAATAAGTATCTGAAATTAGGAGATAAATTGTCATTGTGTTTGCCTTTAGAAATGATATCCGTAAATTTAGTATTTAGCAATGAAACTGATCAAATGCATTTAGTTCTGTCTTTTATTGAAAGCTTTTTAAGAGTATTGTTAATCAGACTTCTACATTTTGTATCTTGATTATTCTTGTCACTGTTACAACTATTAAAATGGTTATTAATGCAAATTTTCCTGTATTTCAGTGTTAACGATATCACAACCTTGAAAGACTTTGAAGCATGTGAGAATCTACAAGAACTGTACATAAGGAATAATAAAATACAGGAGTTAACAGATATATGCTACCTTAAAGGCTTGGAAAAGTTACGCATCCTTTGGCTCTCAGATAATCCTTGTGCGGTGGGGGACAACTATAGAATGACTGTCATCAGAAATTTACCTCAGTTACAAAAGCTTGATAATGTTGGTAAGTTTTAAAGTAGGAGCATGTTTGTTGTCATACCAGGGTCTGTATACATTTATTTACTAGTGTCCATTAGTTTCAGTCAAAATAGACCTTCATAAGGACAAAGCTTACAGATAAACTTTCTTGAGACAACTTCTTTGAACTTATCAATATTGGTGCCATAGTTATGAGGAAACGAAATAGGTCATAAACCCTGCTTGATTTTTTTGGGTAAAGAGACAAACACCTTATCTACTAGGCCAAGGCTCTCCTCAATAAACATTAATTATTTTGAGTCTTGCAAAGGAAGGCAAACAGTGCTTGTCGCTACTTTTGTCCCTTTTTGTAAACTTAAAATCATACATATTTATATTAGTCTTGTTTATTACAGTTGTAGAGGATGATGAGAAAACTGCTGCTAAAGAACAGGGGGAGGAACTCTCACTGCCTGATCCAGACCAAGGGAGTGAACCCAGTGAAGAAAAGCCAGTGATCAATGGCGAAGCAATTGCTGGTGGAGATTCAGAAAGTAATGATGTGAAAAAATTACCAAAAGATCCAGTAACATTAAGCTGGGAGGAAACAAAGTAAATTAATAATTCAAGTTTTTAGTTTTGTTTAAAGGCACATTATGCCTCAGAAATCTATGAATATATTTAATTCTGTAGAAATGTCACACATGTGTTTAATTATGTTTAAATAAAGGATTAAGTGTGTGTTAGATGTTTAACAAGTGGAAAAAAAGTAGCGCTGAACATGTCATGCAGTTATGTGTTGTAACAATAGCAAAATATAAGCAAAGTAGTATTTTGACATCCATACCATACAAAATCGTAATTCATTATAATTATATCAATTGTCAACAGAACTAAAGGTGGAAGAAAAGTTAGTTCATGTACATAGCAAATGAGTATGCTTTGGGAAATTGTAACAAGATACCAAAAGTAAAAGTTTTTGAGAAATAAAAATGATAGCATTTCTGAGGCATAATGGGCCTCACTTTTTGAAAATGTAAGATGTCACTGTGACAGCAAGATGAAATACTACATGTGATTGAGAATTTCATAAAAGTAGATAACTTTAGAGGTGGTTCCTTATGTTTTTTTCCCATGGATTGATTTAAAGTTTTAGTTACAACTTGCAATGAATTTATTAGAAAAATGGAAATGAACAGTTGCACTAGATGTGTTCTTTTGACCTTTAATATGACCTTAACTGTGTTGTGTGATCCAATAAAACTTGCAAGTTCTCAGATAGGCTTCTTGCAGAATGTAATAAAATTTTGCCACAGGATAATGATAATTTATATTAGTATTGACGTGCTTTGCATTAAGTTCTTATAACTTTTATCAAGTGTTTTTCTGATGTTTTATTTTCAGTAAAATACGAGAACAGCTAGGCTTAAAACCGTTACCAATAGAGAAAATAGGCTCACCTAAATCTGCACCTACACATTCTACCAGGACCAGAGTAAGACTAGCATTTTTTTGAAAAATACGTAGTGGATAATTCTAAAATTATAAATGCAACACATTTTGTTGTTTTCCTTAAATAACGGCATTATCTTATGATTTCAATGATACACTTATTTATTGATCAGCTGCGAATTTGACACTGACATAAGGCTGCTTATATGGTTGGTAGTTGCTCATCCCTTTATATTGTTTATATCATGTCCAATATTGAATAGATGCTTTATTTGTGAGTCCACAAGGGAGCTAGGGAGTCATCATGCAAAAAAAAACTAGTTAAAATCAGCCAAATTTTCACTCATGGTCGACTCTTGAAAACTTTATATCATTTATATCATGTCCAATATTGAATAGATGCTTTATTTGTGAGGTCCACAGGTGAGCTAGGGAGTCGTCGTGCAAAAAAACTAGTTAAAATCAGCCAAATTTTCACTCATGGCTGACTCTTGAAAACTAGTTAAATGTCAGGTTCTCTTTGGAATATGCATTACCCATTGTTGCAACCCCCTGTGGTAAATAATTCTGGATCTGCACCTGCTTTGGAGTAATTTATAAATTGTGCATATTTTTCTTATTTTCAGAATGCCCATGTGTTACAGGCAGTGCTCATTCTTGTAAAAGAACTGGACAGAGATAGTCTGGAGATCGTGGAAACTGCCATCAGAAAAAGACTTGACACATTATGAGATTAAAGCAGTCACACATGGTCAACAAAAATCCAAAGTCTAGCCAGATAAACATTTATGAAGGTCAAAGGCCGGTCAGTTATATTGAACTTGACCTTTCAACTTTGCTGTACTCCTGTTGTTTATCATGTGACAATGTTGTGTGTTATATCTATTGATATCTTCTGCAAAGATAAGAGGTTAAGAACAGATTTTACAAAGGTATGGGTAATGTTTTTTGAGAAGGCTGCTATAAGAGTATGGTAGGTGTTTTAAAATGTATTGCTGATGAATGACGCTACACTGTATGGCTTTAGGTAATTTGATTTGGAAACATGTATGTTGAGATAATATTTGAAGCATAATGAATTCTTGAATTATCACTGTATCAAGAGATACATTGTTCTTTCATCAGGTCAGTTATTCTCAATATGTAGCAATGAGCTAAAATCTTGTGCATTGTTAGTCTGGTATACAAAAACTAGTTTTACATTCATAAGGCATATACTGAAGCTTAATTACTAGAAACCAGTCGAACTGAACTAATGTTGTATTCTATACAAAACATGTTCCATGCCCAATTGGTGTATCTTTATAATATACAAAATGTATGTGCTAATTTTTACATTGTTGTATACAGGTTTATATTTTACATATAAAACTTAAAGTATATAGTATAATTTGATGTAATACTGCTGTGATAAAAGGAATATATATTTGTTCTGCAGATATAAGACATAATATCTTAATCAACCAATAGAAGATATTGAATGTGTGTAAGTTCAATACTGAATTTATTGCACTTGTTGAATAAAATTATATTATGCGAGCCTTTATTCAACGAGTGCATTAAATTCAGTATTGAACTTACACAAATTTAATCTTCTATTTATCACATACCCAAAATAAACCGTTTAAAGTGAAATAAGAGTCATTTTTCATTGACTCGCCTATAGTATAAAGCTAACATTTAGCGCGTCTTTACACCATGTTTGTATAACGCTAATGACGTCACGTCAAAATATATGCACAGTCGTGCAATACCATATTTACGGAGTCGCAAAATTGGCATGAGTGTGTGATAAATGCTGTTATGTGGCTACTTACATCTACATAGTGTTCAATTAAGAGTTTTAAATGATACATCTCTGTGCATAAATTATTTTATAAAAATCTTGATTAATGATAGGGATAATGATAGTGGAAATTGTTATTGGCCATGTAGATTTTAAGAATTAATTGACGGTTAACAAATCATTAGTAACTGTTATAATACATCCTCTCAGAATGAAAATGTTTTAACAATTTATCTTTGTTAATTGTGTAGGAATTGTGTAAGATATAAAGTTTAAAGACACGTTTTAGATCCAACAGGTACTAAGCAATGAGTTGAAAGTTTTTTAATTTAGGAAAACAAAGACTCGTCTTTGAACAGGGTTTGAACTCAGGCGGCCAGCAATCCTTAGATTACTGGTTTGAGGTGTTAACCATTCCACCATGCTGCCACTTCAGAATAATAATAATGTAATCTCTGGTCAAAAATAAAGTTTTAGTGCCGGCTACAAGTGTACTTCTTTAGTTATATTTTATACTTATAATTTTATGTGATTTGATTATTTTTTAAGCAGAATTATGGTCCTTGAATTATGATAATGTCTTGTCTTTTATACTAATAATATAACGTAAGAAATACAATTATACACATAACTTACTGTCACAGTGTGAATTCACTTTATTTCATAGACATGAAATTTCGTGGTTTTGTAAAAAGACAAAAACAAATTTAGTGGGTTTGTAAATTCTGATTCTGCAATTAGTAAAATGCAAATAATGTTATGCCAAGTAGTCTGAAAGCAGCCAATATGAAATTTCGTGTTGGATTTTAAATTCGTGGATTGACTTATCCACGAAAACCACAAACATAAGTTCCGTGCGAATAATAATGATTTTACAGTATACATAATGTTAACCATTCCATCATGTTTCATTTTTGTTGAAATCAAAAATCGGTTGCCATACATGTTATATTTTCTTTATATTTTTTTTTGTATATTGTTTATTCTTAAACTGAAAAAAAAGTGTGATTGAAATTAATATACAATGTAATAATTATATTTTATCAGGTTCATTACAAAACTGCAGATTTTTACACATTAAATATTTTCTATGTGTGGTATAGTGATATAATCTGTCATGCTTATTTTAAGAGTGTGTTCATAATCCTGTTAAAAATTTTAATTTTAAAGTGCATTTCATATTCTCTTAAAGGGACTCCACTGACGTTTTGTGACATGACAGGACTGGAAATCTTTTTTCTAAGATTTGTGTACCATTTGATGTACGTTTGCAAATTTTCAGATCATTCTCTCCCCATTTTTCCAGAATAACCATTGTTGTTATTCAAAATTACGCAAGAATGAAAAGCGTTGCAACGCTTTTTACTCAGATCGGGTCAAGAATGGCAAAAAGAATTGATATTTAATTTAATTCTGAGTGAATTTCTATATTTTCTTTTCCACTTTTCCAGATTTTTTTTTCATGAAAGTGCTTCAATTGATCTATGTAAGAATTTCAAATTTTATCGTTTTTGGCTTTTTGACCTCAGTGGAGCTCCTTTAAATCATTTAAATATTCAGATATTTTCTCTCCTTACTTGCAGGGTTTCTTTCACTGCCAGTTCACACTTAGTTTATATTTCATTTGCAATATTTGATGATTTTTGTTTCTTGAGAATAAATGTGTTCTTAGTTAGAATAAACAAACAATTTTTGTTAGGATTGTAATTAGATCTGTTGTTTTAATCCGTAACCTGCTAGAACCATAAGTGATAGCCTTTTTCACTAGTATAGAGCCAAGCCAGCCTGCATATCCATGTAGTCTGACCAGGCTCTAAACTATTGGCTGATTTATTTAAATTTTTCATCTTGATATCCCCCAATATTTATAATGGACATTTCATCAAAAGGAGCCAGACAAGACCATTTAAGAAAATCAGCAGGTGACAGGTTCCTATTGATAATTTTGAAAAAAATAAAGATCCTTGAAATAAACCAAGAAAATTTGCATTGTATATCATGAAGTTAAACAAAAGGTTATCATCAACTTAGTGCAATAACTGGTTAAGTCTTACTTTTAATAGGAGATAGCCAGTAATTGCACTAAGTTGAGGTTATATTTCACTCGAAAAAGTCTGCAAAGAGTTGCCTCAGTTACCCATTTAGTTAAGAATATTTTTTATGAATTATATTATTTTGAAATGTATGTATAATTGCATTTACATTTATAGATCTACTTAAGTTCCTAAAATAGCATATGTTTCCTAAATATGAAATTAAAAATAAATCATATTAAGGAAAAATGTAATAATTTTGAGTGCATTGTTGTAGAATAATGCATGGCTTGAGTTCAGAAAGTAAAAATGGAGTATAATATAAATCTGAAAGATTTTGCAAAATTATAATTGAATATATATTTTTTTTCTTAATTTTGTTTGCGTGTTCACACTATGTGCATTTATTACAGATATTTTTAAAATGTGATATTGTATAAACAGCCTGTAAACAGTGTACACATTTTACTTCACTGTGCCTCGTTATCATCAATAGTTTACATACTGTATTCTTGCTGCCTTTCACATAATTAGTTAAGAGATTTGCCTATGAAACTAAAAGTGATTAGCCTTTGCCATCAGTATAGAGCCAGGTCAGCCTGCACATCCGTGCAGTCTGACCAGGCTCTATACTGTTGGCCAATAAATCATAAATCTTAATCTTGATAACCCCAAATTGATAATGGACAGTCCCATAAATAAAAGTTGGGCAAGTCCATTTAGCAGCTTAAGTGTTTCCTTAGGAGTTTTTTTTTTTTGTTATTATCACTTTGCCGTCCAGTGCTATTTTACATTTTATACATATATTCTCAGAGCCATAGTCATGGTTTTTAACATAATTTTGCTTATTTTTCTTTTAAAAAGCAAAATTGATACACTGATACTTCCTAATCTATGTAATGACTTTATAACAATTGAAATAAATCATATTGAAACATTTTGTAAGAATAAGAAGGTACATTTGTAACTCTCATATTATATTAGAGATATTTTTGATATTAAGTTGTAAATATTAACTATTTAATTTCGATCCACACAACTCTTCAAAAACTAAAACATTGGGTTAATACAAGGGCCCTATATCATTCTGATTTCTAAAATAGTTTCGATTTAAGTATTATAAAGGTAAAATATTGTTCAGCGTTTTATTTTTACATAATTTTGGCCATGTTTAATATGCATAAAGAATTTGAACTACAGCTTATAATAGAGCATTTTTCTGCTCTATATATGCTCATTTCATTATCTACTCTGTTTCATGCTCATCTTATTCTCTTTTAATACTCATCGTTCAGCTGTGCCTTTTTGATCTGATTTCATGTATTGATTTTTGTCATAATATTTTTTAACAAGTAGAAAGTTTCATAATCAACTACTTTCAAGCGATAATTGTTTCTTACACTCGCTGATGGAAATGCCTTATCCTTCATTCTTAAAATCATATTCTAAAAATTGTTATATTTGTATGAAAAGTGGATTATTCAGAGGATAAAAGTTGTTATATTTTGTATAAAAAGTGGATTATTTAGAAGATAGTAGGATTATTACCAAATTAAACAAATTGTATTAAAAGTTGTTGTAGAAATGATACATGTACTTCAAAAAGCCTTATAATGAAAAATTTTGGATATGAATCTATACATGTGAGTCGTAATATCTACATGTATATTTTTTCAACCATATTGATTTTTAGCTTGTTAGTTTCTAATAGAAAGTTGAGTTGTTATGAGCGCTGTAACATTGTTGTCTTTGTGCAAAAAACTTTAATGTAACCCATTATTCAAACATTTTAATGATAGAAGATGCATAATTCTGAAATCAATGAATATCATGGAGTTATGCCTCTTTTGAATTTTTTACAGATGAGTGTTTACACTGCATGCAATGCTCTTGTTTTAAATAAAATCCTTTGATGCATTATTAGCTCACCTGTCACAAAGTGACAGGGTGAGCTTTTGTGATCGCTTTTCGTCCGGCCGTAAACTTTTACTTTAAATGACATCTCCTCATAAACCACTAAGCCAATTTCATCCAAACTTCACAGGAATGTTTCTTTGGTGGTCACCTTTAAAAATTGTTCAAAGAATTCAATTCCATGCAGAACTCTGGTTGCCATGGCAACCGAAAGAAAAAACTTTAAATATCTTCTTTTAAAAAACCATAAGAGCTAGAGCTTAGATATTTGGCATGAAACATCTTCTAGTGAGTGTCTACCAAGTTTGTTCAAATAAAAGCCCTGGGGTCAAAATTGGCCCCGCCCCGGGGGGTCATTGATTTTCCCTATATGCATATAGTAAAAACTTAAAAAATCTTCTTTTAAAGAACCCAAAGAGCTAGAGCTAAGATATTTTAGCATGAAACATGTTCTAATGGGTGTCTACCAAGTTTGTTCAAATAAAGCCCTGGGGTCAAAATTGGCCCCGCCCCGGGGGTCATTGATTTTCCCTATATGCATATAGTAAAAACTTAAAAAATCTTCTTTTAAAGAACTCAAAGCGCTATGGCTAAGATATTGAGCATCAAACATGTTCTAATAGGTGTCTACCAAGTTTGTTCAAATAAAAGCCCTGGGGTCAAAATTGGCCCCACCCCAGGGGGTCATTGACTTTCCCTATATGCATATAGTAAAAAATCTTCTTT